GAGGCCTTTCACAGCAATGGACAGCAGGTGACAACCTGTGGAGATTTGGGTGGTGGATAGTGATCCAAAACCTTTGCCGCAGCCACTCTTAGGCAGCTCTCAGGGATTTGCAAGCCTGAGGCAAGCTGTGGCTGGTTGCCATGTTCTAAGGGAGTTTCACAAAGTGATCACAGGCCAGGCACTGCCCCGAGGTGAGCTGTGGCTGGTTCCAGTATTCTTGGGGCACTGTGCGAAGTGGTTACAGGCGGGGCACCGACATAAGAACTGATTCTGCATTAACTTTGTGAAAACCACCTGCCATGTCGTGTGACTTCCTGGGACTACACCCCACCCAGCTAGTGCTGCATCTCCAGGGGCACTCAACACCGGGCCGACCAGCGCAGACTGCACACCTAAGGAGGCTCTTTCAACAGCTGGGCCTGACAGGCAGCCGGCGGGTGGTAATAGATGTAGGGGACCCTGGGCCTTTTGCTAAGCTGCCTCAGGCCCACGACTGGTGGCAGCTGGCCTTGGTTTATAGCGAGGCCACCCCCACATGCCTCCAGCTAGCAGCCAACCACATATAGCTCTGTGGTTCCTACCAGGTAGCCATGGGCCAGTAACAGGCAAGGCTGAAATTGGCCTGCATGGGGAGCTCCTCCCAACAGACTCCAGAAACAACACACCCAGAGGCCAGCTTCAGCCCAAACCAGAGCACAATTTGCTTAGCCCCACAAGCAGCATATCCAAAGGAGAGTCTCAACAGGCGCCAGAGCCCACAGGGGCGAATCCTCCTTTAAGGGGTCAGCATCTACACAGCAGCTCATACACAGTGGGGGTAGCCAATCCTTACAGTCAGCCTTGGAGTCAATCCCACCCACTAATGTGCCAAAAGTAATCAAGGCTCAACTACAACAGAATACATACAACACACTCAAGGGACACTCCTGGAACACACGCACAGGAGATTAGGGAGACTACACCTGATATTAAAGCAGGGATACCTGAATGAAGTGAGGAAGTGAGCCATATGACCAGAGGGGAAGAGTGTTCTAAACAGACGGAACAGCAAGTGGAAAGCTCAGAGGGTGGGATGAACTTTCGTGTGTTCAAGGAGCAGAGACTATTTTTGTACTCATTAGTGCTGTTTGTCAAATGTTCTGGTTGTCTCCTTCCAGGCATAAGGTAAGATTGCACTTCCTGGTTCTTCTATGGATGGATAGGTCATGTGATTAGCACTGGACAGTGAGTCCTGAGCAGAAATGACATGTGCCATTTATGGAGAGAGCCAATGAAAAACCCTGTAGAGTTCCTTTTCTCTCTACGGTATGGTAATTAATCCTCCATCAGGTGCAACTGATCTCACAGATTCATTGCACACAAATTTTCAAATATCTAACAGGTAACTTAAATATTGTGACTCATCGCTTCTGTATCTTCCCCCGTCCACCGTAACCTGTCACCAGTCGTGTTTGTGACTTAGTAAAGACATATTTCATATTTGAAAATGTGTGTGCATGAATCTGTGAGCTCAGGTGCACCCGATGGAGGGTTAACATGCTCTAGACAGTGGCTGCTCCATCAGCTCGAATCTGAGGGAGGGAGAAAGCAATGTGGGAGCAGAGTCCCCAGCTGATCCCTCATACACATGAATGTGAGCAAGAAATAAATTTGTGTTTCAAGCCTCTGAGATTTGGAGGTGTTACCACCGATGGTATAATTTGTCCAGATTGATACAGTCATTGTAACTGGTGGGGAGAAAGCTAGAGGGAAGGTGGAAGGAGTTCTAAGGGACGGGCAGGAGACAGATCATGCAGAGCCTTGTATACAATAATAAATTTGGATTTCATTCTGTGTGAAGGAAAAACCTTTGGGGGACTTTGAACAAGGGGAATGGCATGTGATTTGCATATAAAAAGAATCGCTCAGTCATGTCCAGGAAAGTCCTTATTAATATTGAGAAATACATATTGAGGTATTTAGAGATAATGTCTACAACTTACTTTCAAGTGGTTCAGTAAAATGTGTGTGTGTGTGTGTGTGTGTGTGTGTTCAAGCACAACAGAGTAAAATGGTAATTGTGGGTGAAGGGTATATAGGTGTTCATTGTCCTCCTTTTCAATTTTCTTATGGGTTTAAATTTTTTTTAAATAAAAAATTGGGAAATCACTTTTTTTCTATTTTTTTATTATTAGTTTCATGTGTACAGAACAATACAATAGTTATCCTTTTCACCCCTCACAAAGTAACAACCCCCACCCCCCATCCACTGCCCTCCCTGCCCCAATGTCATGCTTATCTATTACAATTCCATTGACTCCGTTCCCACACTCTACTCCATGTCCCGAGACTATATGTATATATAATTATAGTTGACATACAATATTATTCAACATCAGCTTCAGAAATACAGTGCGGTGGTCAGGCCTCTACACTGTCTATGCAGTGGTCTCCTTGACCAGACATGAGTCCAACTGGGAAATCAGTTTAAAGAACTACAAAGAACACCATTAGGAGGCTGCCAAGATGTGGTTTAAGCTGGAGTGGTAATGGTGAGAAATGGGTGGATTTGAAATCTATTTTATATGTGGAGCCTGCAAACTTTGCTGATTGAGTGGCTGTGGGATGTGAAGCAGAGAGGAGTCAAGGTGTCTCTTACGTTTTTGTCCTGAGCAAGTGGAGACAGATGATGCTGTTACCTGACATGGACAGCAGGGGAAGCACTAGGCTTAAGGGATGGGAAACAATTCCGTTTTGGACACGCTGATGGTGAGCACCCAAGTGGAGACCAGACTGACAATTGGATAAATGAGTTGAGAGTTCAGAGAAGAGGTTGGCTGGCAATACAAAATGTGGAATCATCATCATGTAACAGCACACAGAACTGGACAGAATCCCTGAGGAAGCAAGTGTAGGTGGGGAAGAGGGCCAGGACTGAGTGTTGGGGAACTGGAGCATGGCCACACTGGGAGGAGGGCCATGAAGTTAATCTGATTTCTCTTGTTCTGATGCCATGATTACTGGGCAACCACCTGATTTATTATTTGACTTCCCACCTGTACAAGAAGTATTGGTCAGATGAACTTGGAACATTCTACTTCCTGAGACAGTTCTCATTGTAAATAAATTGATCATACCAGTGTGGTTTGAGTCAGCCCCTGAGACAGCTCTGTTCTCAGCATGATGACAAAGTCTGATGGTGAGTCTGCATAAGAGGGAGCCAAACTCAGGGCCGTGGAAATTTCCTACGAAAATGGATGCCACACTGCTTGCTGGCACTCTTCCTTAGTTCACAGTAGCCTGCTAAACAACGTTTCCAGAGCTGGTGAGAAAACCCCAAACTAGGTATGGTTACGAGAATACTCCCTTTTTTGGTTACATCCCTTTTCTTTTGTCAAACTTTTATTTATTTGTCACTATGTCTCAAAGTTTTTCTTCCATGCTGATCTTGCATTTCTTCATATCAGGATCACTATTACTTTATTACTATTTGGGGAGTAATCTCTATGTGTTTGCTCAAAATCTATTTTTAAATTTTTATTTCATTTTTGGATAGTATTCAAATAGTTCAAAACTCAAAATGATATAAAGTATACACTGAGAGTTCACCTTCCCACCTCTTCCCTAAGCATGTTTCCCCCCAAAACCACTGTCCCTACCCATTTTAGGTTGTGTATCCATCTAGAGTTTAGGTTATCAATCTCTTGCTATTACAAAGCTGCAATGAATAACAGTATATATATAGTTTCTGATCTGTAGTTTTTGTGTCCTCTGCTGTGCTGTTATGGAAAAGACCTATTCTATTCCTCTGGGAGGGGATGAGTAATTTCTGATAAAAGTTCAGCTCAAATTGCATTCCTCTTCCCCTTCTCTTTTAGTCTCAAATATCAATACCACAACATTTCCAGTATAAAATGATTAAATAGCTCCCCCTAGCTAAAGCAGTTCAGGGATGTTCAAGTTCAACTATTTACTGCCTATTGTTTTGGGGATAAAAATGGATTGTACTGACCCAATGAGAAGAAAAAAAAGGAGGTTCATAAAGATTATTGTAGAATATGTGTTTATGGGACATGAATTGACATGTGACTTCAGAGACCAATAAAAAAAACCTCAGCAATGTAGCTAATGTGTATCTGTCCTCTTTTCCCTTCCATGGTGTAGCAGGTTGTATTTTCCAAAGATAGCTACCTCAATATATCTCATCCCATATGTTCTTCTTATAATGTGACAGTGACATTCTTCCCATTGAGTGGAGGGGCCTGTGGTGGGGCTTGAACTTCAGCTGACCTTAGTGATTGCCTCCACCAATGGAATACAGTGGAAGTCCCAGCTAAGTCCAGGAAGCTCCCAGAACCATGAGAGATATTAATAGTTATTCAAATCTAATAAGTCTTTTTTTTTTTTTTTTTAAGCTGAGCCATCCTGCTACCTGTTGGCAGCTCAGTGGCTGCTCAGCTCGGGCTGGACTCGAACCGCTGTTGNGGCTGCTCAGCTCGGGCTGGACTCGAACCGCTGTTGCTCAGAGCTCAAACTCTTGAGCGAGCTCTTAACCAACTGAGCCACTCGGCCGGCCCCTCTAATAAGTCTTAAGGTCATTCACTATGCATTAACAGAAAACAGGAACATGGTCTTGACTTTTAATCAATCATCTTTACATTTTCTTTGGTCTTGATTCTTTAATTTGTATTCAGATTTCACTATAATTTTGTTTTCTTATTGCAGGTCACCTCAGATCCTTTGTGGAAGATGGTTTAAGTACAATGTAATTACATAGTAAAAAGTGCTCTTCTATCTAGCCCCGTGGTGTAAGCTCCCTGGTGTTCTATAAATGGTAAGGTGAACTGATGAAAGCAAGACTTATCACCATTTTTGAGGGATTTTTCTCATTAAAAGAAAGATTGCTTTGTGTACACCTATCTACATTTTCTGCTTCTCCCCCAAAACAGATCCTTTGTCCATGAAAGTTTGATAGAAATAATTATGACCTCATCTATGAGGACCAAATGACTCATTCAACCAACAGTTCCTCAACATTTATTGGTTACTATTGTGTGCCAGATATTAGACCAGATGCCAAACATACAGACTCAGTCTCAGCTTACAAAGGGACTCCTGAACCAGTAACTATTTATAGTTATAAAACACCTATAGTATGCAAGTCACTAGGCATGTCTGCAAAAGTCTTCAAATGCCTTCAGTGATGGAGGGGTATTTAAAAAACAACAACAAAAATAAAGCAAGATTATCAAATGACCTGACAGGCAATTAAAAAAAGTAAAAGGAAAAATTATATACAACTTTACAGTAGGTTCATGTATCTATGAGTTCATATAATAAATAGAGGTATTTATTCTCTTCATAGTCAGAGAAATGAAATGTTATCATATGGCATAAACCTTATAAAAATGAAATTATCTGTGGGTAGATGCAAAGTATTATTTGTATTTATAAACCTTTAAAAATTACAAACATTTTGAAATTTGCATTAGAAATAAATAAGTCTTAAATTATCTGTTACTATTGAATTCTGGCTATGTACCAAATACAAGAAAAAAACAGCAAATACATGAATTATTTTTACAAGTTCTTAGGGACCAAGAGAAAATTAAAGTGTGAATTTCATAACCTTTCTGGAATTAACTTTTAACTACAGAAAAGAAAGTAAGTTCACAATGTACAGTCATATTTTTGGTAACATATATTCAATAGAGAATGGATGCTGAGAATCCCTTCAGGTTTTTCCAAATGAAATGGAAATAAGGGCCACATAAAGTAAAAACCTATTTAATTTATATGCTTTTTAAGGAAAAAAATCGACTTTTTACTCATTGGTTTAGAAATTATGAGTAGGGGAAATAAATTATTTTAAATGAAACAAATAATATGATTTGTATTATAGACAACTAAAATAGGATGGCATTTCCAGACCCCATCCAAATCTGAGATTCAACGATTCTATGAACTGAATACAGAAAGGTGAGGGAGAAAAGATGAAGAGTGAGAAGATACAGAAAAGTAAAGAGAACGGGCTTTAAAGAAACACCCTACCACAACACATAGACTAGCACAGAGGTGAGACTCGGGGACACGGAGGGGGAAAACACACTTAGTCAGATCTTGGCTTCCCTCATCTGGAAGACTTCCTCCTCAGAACTCCTCCATAACAGTCTAATGCTTGTGTCTGAATGTCTGCTGGCCTCTTTGTGTACTTCTTCTGAAGACTTTTTAAATTAGGTTGTTTTCCTTCCTAACTACACTGAATAGACTTGTCAAGCAGAGGTCAAATGACTGCTTTACTTTTAATGACTTCAGTTCGATTGTAACTTTGGTTAATAAAAAACCTCCAATTTTATAGTTCCTCTTCTGAATCTAAATTGTAAATTTCCTGAGGTTGTCTCTTAATATTGATTACCAAATCAATGGTTAAAATTTTGGTCAAACACTGAAGAACTGAAGTTATTAACTGGTATTTACCAGATACTGATTCCAAACCTGTCTGACTGCTTACCATAGATTGATTGGCTTGAAGTGCATGGAGAGTGCTTACATACATTTGTGGAAAGCTGTGAATTCCTTTCTTAGACTTACATAGAATTTTGGGAATGCCTAAAAGTGCATTAGCTATTATCATACCAACCATGGCTGCTTCTGACTGCTGGCATTTTTTGGCATAGTTGAGAAGATAGTAATGTAACAAAATCTCAAAATTACCACCCACTGGCAAAACACAACCTGCTGGTATAGATGAGAAACAGTAATTCTGGGAAGTACCGATCTCCAGTGACTTATATCTCACTGGTAACATATACCCCTTTCCAGCAATGTTTGTGACCTGTAAATTTTCGTAAGAACTTTCTATTCTAGTGTTTTCTGTTGTTGAATTAGAATTACCCTCAATAAATAGATCATGGTCATCAATTATCCTGGTTTTGTTTGGAGACAAACATCTCAGTTTTTCATCTGTCTGGTATGTATCTGTTGGTGTTGAACATGGACCATATGTTTCTATTTCTACACCTGGAACTACCAAATTTGAAGATTCTTTTAAATATGTTTGAGTTTTTTCCACTTCATCTTTGTTCCTTACAACAGTGCTCTGATATGGCCTTTGTTTTGAGCCATTAACAATTTCTGGTAATTGATTACTTTCTCTAGTATTCTTATAAATAGGAGGACTTGATGTAAAATTTTGGTCACTGACTTGTGTCATATAGTTTAGATCAAGGTCTTTAAACAACTGCCGAAGCATTTTAAATGCTCCATGTAAAGCATCCTCATGTTGTTTAACAAGGCCCTGCACTGGTCCACAAAGAACTACACAGTGTGGTATAAATGGACACGTACTAATCAAGCCAAGATGAACATACCTTTTGGATCTAAGGATAAGGGGCTCACAAAATTTCACCAAAGCAGTGTTTGAGATTTCACACTGTGAAGAGGCCTGTGGTAGTACAAAGGGAGAAAGACCAGTGATCCTCTGAATAAGAGAAATTTCATCAGATGCTAAACACTCTACCACTGATATGCTATTCAGTCCTGCATAATAAACAACTAAGTCTGGCTGCTTCACACTAGATAGGAGCAATTTTACATTCTGACTCTGTAAATGTTTCATTATTGCTTTTGTCCTTTCCATAATCCAAAATTGAGATGTCTGAAACTGTGCCTCTGAATTTAGAATAAACTCCATCCCAGAAGTTGAAAAGGGAGGCTGAAAAGTTTCTGTTACTAGCACTATTCTTATGTCACCATCTGCTGGACAGTACACAGAAAAGTCTCTGTGAAGCACAAGTCCGGCAACGATCTTGGAATCTGAAACAGGAAGGCCGGTGACACCAACATTCAATTCTACAAAACAGCCATCCACTAATTCAAGTACTTCTTCAAACCCACTTTCACAAGGCATACACTTGAAAAAGTAGTCACACATCAATTGTGAAATAAAGTTGTGATTATTTCTTCCCACTCTTCCACAAAAGTATGCCCCTAAGAGCATCTCAAAAGAGCGCCTACACAATGTTCTCTCTTTAGTGGATGAAGAAAAGACAGACAAAAAGTGTCTACTTAAGTGTTGGTCCATAACATAGTCTAATATTTGTGTCTGAAACGTTAGAAGAGCTTGGGAAATAAATTTCCACTGACAACAATTTTTCCAATGTCTTCCATGGGTTTGAATATTTTTGGACATGAAAGAATCTTCTTTGTCTGTGACAGCAGTAAGTCCTCTGAGCAAATGACAAAGATAGATAATAAATGTCTTAGCACCATCTCCTGTTTTTCTTAGATGACTGGAAACACATGCCACCATCATCCTAGACAAAAAAAGAAATAAAGCAACTCAGATTTTCTGTGGGCTGCCTTCCTACATGTCCACCAAGTTGAGACTGTTTTCACAGCTATAAATATAAAATGAGAATACTGTCCCTTTGATATGCGCTTACTTTTAATTTTTCCTTTTCCAAGTTACTTTGTTCTATTCCAAGATTTTAGGGTTGGGTGAATCGGGGAGGAGAGGAGTGAGAAGTGTTCTTAGGAGTTGGTAAGATTTAATGTCTAGGAGTGTTCCCTTGGGCAGCGCTTTAACCCTGCGCGTACACTGGTCTCATCCAAGGTCAGTTTCCCCAGGAGCATAGCCTCAGGGGCAGTAAGTTCAGAGACGGCCAGGGCCAGGGGTGCACGCCTGCAGTATGCCCTAATGGGCTGGAGTGCGGGACGCGAGTACCTGGCTAAGGGATGCTCTAAGTGTAGCGCCTCCAGGAGGCGGCCTCCATCCCGGCTGAGCAGCACCTCACCGGTGGGCTTCGTACACAGAACTTGGCGACCCTCGGGCCCCACACAGCAGCTCACGATGGTTTCCAGCACCTCCGCGACCTGTAACGCCGCCTTCACAGACCCTGCAGCAGCAGCCATAATTCCCCGGGTTCCGGCCGTTCTGAATTGCAGGACCGCCAGGAGGGGCGGGGCGCGACACGGCCGGAAGCGGAAAAGGCGGGAGGAGGCCGGAAACCCGGGCAGCTCCGCTTTTTGGTTGGACGAGGGGCTGTCCTTCCGCCCACTCGCTGAAAGCCCCGCTATTTTGTTGGTGGGGGCTGGCGTGGTCCAATACCTCGTGAAGGTAGGGAACAGGTCAGGATTTCCCGGGAATTGCCCGTGGGGCGGAAACCGCAAGCCCTTCCCCACGTCCCTTGGTAATGTCTTTCCCCTCCAGTAGCTGCCGCCAAATGCCCCCGTCTCCCAGAAAACTGCTTTCTGAACTCAGCACGATAGTGGAGCTTATGTGAAGGAGGGCTTCGGCCCCGCGGGTATAACTCGGCTCGTTCGTTCCCTGCTTCCGTCAAAAGCTCCTCGTTTCGTAGCACAGCCTTTGCCTTGGACTCATGCATATTCTGTCCATTCTTCATCAGTTGCTCTCCTTCCATTCACAGAAGCAGTTTGGGGGTGCAGGATAGATGGGGAGGTCCTGGTTACGGTCACGAGCTGCAGGCTTTATGCTTTCCTCACGGGGGCTTTGCCACATTTCTTGGGTTCAGTATCACTGTGAAGTCCCAGCCACCAGACTTGACTTGTTTAGCAGAGGTGATAAGATGTGAAGACTTAGCCACATTGGTGGTCAATAGCATGCTTTAAAAATGGTGGCCTAACACTGGATACAATAGAACAGCAGAAAAAAGACCACATACTGTTAGGCAGAAAGTACATAACTTTTATATATTAAAATACACTCTCGTAAGGATGAAATGGCTAAGAGTGTGGGCTTAAGATTTAGACCTGGATTTGCTCTGCCATTTATCTGTGATATTCAGCAAGTAGCCTCTCGTCTTCACTTCTCTCATCTTTTTTTAAAAAACGGAGATAATAGATATGTAAATGAAAAATCTCATAAGGCTTTGGGGAGCGTGAGGATGTTTACAAAGCGCTTTATCTGCATGGTGCCAACCATATACTAAGCACTCAACAGTCAAATTTGCAGCTCACCCACCAAATTTCTGAGACATTTCACTACTCTATGGCCCACTATCTCTACAACAAAGGGGTATTTTGTAAGGCACAGAAGAGTCGAATAGCATAATAGCATAACACAGGACACTTAAGAGTGTGGTCAATATTAGTTAGAAAATTATCTTGTAGAGGTTTCGTTGAGATTGAACAGTGAGGAGCTGTTTTTCTTACCCTTTATTCCTATGCATAGGGCAGGAGAAACTTGAAAGCTCTTCCTCTCTTCCCCCCAATTAATAAGACAGAACTACCGTGTTTTCCCGAAAATAAGACCTAACTGGGAAATAAGCCCTAGCATGATTTTTCAGGGTGCTTAGAGTATAAGCCCTACCCCAAACATAAGCCCCAGTTAAGATCGTCAGCCAGACATGACTGTTTGAATAAATGTAGATTTTTGTACATGAATAAATGAATAAATGTAGATTGTTGGAGCAAAAATTAATATAAGACCCTGTCTTATTTTTTGGGAAACACAGTATTAGTCAGAAGCAATTGGACCCTGAGGAGAAAGCAAGAAAGGGAGGAGAGGAGGATGGAGGAAAACCAGAGGAATAATTTCTTGGAATTCAAATAATGCTGACTCAGTATAAACTAAATGGTTATTTGAGGGGAAAAAAACTTTTTCATATGGATTTTGTGTATATGCTTGTTTAATAATAAGGTTTTTATTTATTTTTTTCTGGTTCTACCCACCACAAAAAGATTACATTACTCAATATAGATTCGAGCAGCGGATTACAAACATTTAAAAGTGAAGTGCTGGGATCAGAGTTCTATTTAAGTGTACAGTGGAAAGGGAATGGACATTGAAGTCAGACATAGATTCAAACTTGGGCTATCACTCTTACTATGCAGCTTTTGGAATCATTTAACTTCTCTGAGCCTCAGATTCTTTATCTATAAAATTGGGCTAACTTCCACATATCTATGGTTATTAAGAGTACTCAAGAAGAATAAATATAAAGCACCAAGTAAAGCATATATTAGGGATTCTGTTAAATCCCTTCCAAGTCCTGCACCACCCTTCACAACTACTCCCACACAAAATTTATTTTAATTTAAAAATTAGGACTAAGTAATTTAGTCACCATATGTTATATTCAAAGTCATTTGGTCACAATTTGTTCTTTTTAAAATTTTTATTTAGAATGCCTACTTGTAGAAGTTAGCATAATTTTACAGATCTTTAGAAAAACTCAATTCTTTTGTCTGCAAACATTTATAATAGGTTAGGAATAATAGATTAGAAATGTAATACATTACAAAACAGTAGCCTAGGACTATCTGTACATTATGATGCACCTTAAGGAAAAGAATCTGACAGTGTGCTGTACTTACACTGCAGATAACATACTTTTATTCTATTACACAAAACTGACCAGTGGTATTATTTGAACTTATAAATGGCCATCAATCAGGTTATTTATCTTAGATGTATATTTAGGCATGCTAAAAAAGTGGAAAAATTTTCAACTGAAGTTCTGTGGCTCATCAGTTCAAATATTTCGTGGCATTTTTGTTTAAATAAATTTCAATATTGTAATACTAAAATAATTTTACATGATAAATGCAGAAAGAAAAAAATTCTAAATATTTTAGAAGGTATATTCACATTCATTTTGTCATGGGTTTCTTGTGGCTCTTCTAAATATGTTAATCATATTAAGGAGACACTGGTCCTATACAATTATAACAGTCCATCTTCAATTAAAAACTGTAACAAAACAAACATTATGTTAAGAGTAACAAAAAGTAAATATACTAAACCCACACTATAGGTAAACAAAATGAAACTAAATTACATAATAGTGGCAGATTATACATTTTAAAGAATCTCTTTTTCCATATAGTCAAATAAGATAGAAGCTGAAATGTAAAGTTAATGATTTGTGTGGGGTGCCCCTCATTGGTTCAAATTAGAAAATTTGGTATAAATGCTAATTTTAATTTTGTTTCTGTACATTTAACATAATTCAAAATAATCTGCAGCGTCATGTATGGCTCATCAATAATGCCATCGTCACTTATGTCAAAACAAAATATTGCTCACTAGAAATGCTAAACATGGGAAAATATGGAATTTTATACATTTGTTTTCTTAAATATTTGACTAAGATATTCTTTAAAAAGTTAAAACTGCCTTTCACAGAATTTTGTGTGTATATGGCACAAGTTGACACCCAAAACAGTGAATTCCATTAAAAGGCACTGTTTACAATACTCAGAATCATCTGACAATCTACTTCAATGATGTGTGAGGGTAAAGAATATATTTGAAATAGGTAAACAGACAAACCCTTGTAAAAGTACAGCATTAACAATTTAAATATAGTTAACTATATAAAAAGAAATAAGGTGACACAGAGAAATGACCCTTTTATGACAAGTCTACAAACGCTTTGAATCATATAATAGTTCTGTAACACAAAATGACAAAAAGTATTTTCTTAAAGGCACAAAAGCGTGAATACTAGATGAGGGCTGTATTTAACAAGGCCAACTTTTTCAGTGGAATGGTGACAAAGATTACACTGTACCTTTATAAGTGGTACAAAAAAGTACTGACATGAAATACAAGTAAAATATCTATTGCTGAAACTTACTTATTTTACATGCCCTATTTATTGTCTTTTCCTGGGTCAGCTACATCTCAATGGTGAACAACTGAAGGCATAGCACATTTAACAACTAAAACAGAAATGCACATTTTAATAACTCTTATCTAAATTTTCATGAGAAAAAAATAAATTTTTGATCGAATAAAAAAAAAAAACTGGTCATAAGGTTCTAGGTTAAATCCTAGAAACCATTATGACGTTCTCAGACAGCTGGAAACTGTAAATCACAATTTTTATGAATCCATGTGTGAAGGAAGATTAATCTCTGGTAGAGATCATTCAAAGTCAATTACATACATGGCTAAATACAAACAAAGTTAACTGTGAGCTTTAAAGGATTTACATAGTATGCCTGATATAAGCAGTAATCTAAAACTAATCCACCAGTTCCTGAGTTTTGTGTTCAGTTTGCTGAAAGGAGCTCACACAACTAAAAGCATAATAAGATTACTAGATTAGATAAATGCTTTTAGTGTATAAGAAACAGTGAGGAGTAACCCTGCTCTTTCTCATGAAATAGGTTTTGATACCTTGGGTAATAAGATCCCATAATATCTGCTCTAAAAATAAAATTTAAAAAAAAATAAAGAAAACAACTACCTTTGTAGCCTTAGAAGGTACTCATACAAATAAAACACTATTTAGAGCAAATGAAAATAACCCACAAGTGGATAAGACTAAAACTCCAAAGTGGGGTTACCAACAAAAAATTTTAAGTTTTCAGGGTTTAATGATAAAATGACTTTTGTGATCAGCCAATCAAGTTATATATAATATAAATACTAATTTCAACCATAAAAAGATCAAATTGTACAATATTTACAAAATATATATCCGTGAATAGGCAGTTGAGCATAACACTGGAAACAGAAAGTGAGTACAAAAATTGTATTGACAAGTATGAAATACAAACGAAAAATCTCCACTTGTTCCAGTGTAGTCATATTATACCTATACTTATACTGGGTATAGGTACATCTTACTTACATTTTAATCAATTAAAAAAATTTTTTCACATGTACATATGGAATATAGCACTGTTTTGCCAAAAATATATGGGAACTGGCTCTTCATAAAACCGAAGGATACTTAAGATAACTACATTGGTTAGGCAAGAAAAAAGCAGACTCTTTTTATCATTTTGAATTTTCATAATTTAGCAACCATTCTTTAATTTTATATTTATCATGGCATTAAACAGCTGATTACTATTTTACTAGTGTCTAATAGTCTCTTTTTAGTCAAAGGCAAATGTAGCCAGAGCAATTATTTTGACCTTCATTTTCATTAATAACCATTTTAAAACTATACTTTCAAGGATTCTAAGATATATCTTAGAATAACATGTTCCTAACCTTAACTTACATTTGCAAAAATTGCTTTTGAGGACTATAAATACTTATGTAAAAACATAAATTAAAAATATTAAATTTAAAAAAAATGAGGAAAAAGTTTGCCTGAGCCTGAACAAAAGGAAATCTTGAAGAATTGTGTTTTTTTGCCATAGAATGAAGTTACTAAGAACCAAGGAGGATAATAAAAAATTAAACTTCAAAGCCTGATGCTCTTCTTAGATGCTCAACTTATTGCACATTTTAAAGAAACCAATTTTAATGTACACATAAATGCCAACACACAAAGCGTCTTTTCTTATCGCCTTTTTCGTATTTGGCTTTTGAAGTAAAATATCAGTTATAATTTCTTCTATTCTACTTATTCACTGAACACACTAGGGTCTAAATGAAAGCTAAAATAAGTTTTTCATAATGAAAAAAACATAAGTTATCAGCATTTCATATGCCCTATTAGCATCTCTAGAACTTGGCCTGTTATTGGACCAACTGAATTAAAAAACAAAAATAAGAAAAAAAAGACAACGGCTAATTTTGATCACATTTTTTTAAGCAAGTGCTTAAGGTGGTATTATATAGGTATGATAAGAAAGATATAATCAATGGATCCAAGTAGCTGCATACCATTTTTTATGTTGATATACACATACGTGCATTTGTACCTGTATCTACAAATATTAAATTCTAGGCGTTAAAAAATCTTGTGTAAACTTTTAAAAAAGTATTTTGCCACCTTATATCTCTCAATATATCAATTTTAACCACACTTTGTCTAGCTGTTTCTGAGAAGACAATTGAGCTGGGTGCTTTGGAAATGATCTTTTTTTTTTTTAACAGTACAGTGTATTGAACTATTTATGATATGTCTATTATTCCATCATTTCCCATTTTGTAATTCCTTATTAAGTTTTGTGCCTGTTTTATGAAAACAGATTACATGTATGTATAATATTGATAGCATTTTTGTTATGAATGTTAGTGCTGTACCTCAGAACATACTATAGAATACAAAGACTACTGTCAGGTATACCTAAGACACAACTGTGTGTACATGTGGATTTACTATACTCACATGTAGACACATTTTCACAAAAGCTAGAAATGTTCTGGCACTTAACACATAGTTCACTTTAATAACCAAATAGAATAGCTCTTGTTTCAGGTTAAGGATAACAGGTATGAAAGGTCAACACCTCTACATTTAAATCTAAGGTTTTGTTTCTGAAATATTATCATGTTTTAATAAAGACCAAACCAACTTGAACTTTGGTCCCAGGCCAAATCTGATCATTCCAGTTCACTGATGCAACTGTAAAGAACTTCTATTTAAACATGAAGTTTATTATGACTTGAAGCAAGATCAGGAGGAAAATGATGAAGTAGTCTTTTTGTTGCAGAAAATAATCCGTGGCAGGTGTGCTTGAAACTAAATGATTTCGAAGAGCCATAATATTTCTACAAAAATAAGCAACAATAAATTTTAAAATTATTTGTCAAAAATGTTAGCACAGAACCCATAATTTGACATATAGTCACAGAGCACTTAATTACATTAACAAAAGTAGCTAGTTCAATCAATTACTGCTATCTTGACAGGATTATGCTATGTGGAGCTATTATCACGTCCTATCTAAATCTACATTACACATTGTACCACATATATTAGTGATGCTCAAACATCGTTATTAAAGTTTGATAATGTAGAAATATATCACCTCTGTTATCACAGTGGTTTTAAAACAAAATTTTTGCTTCTTAGTTGTCCCATTAAGATTCTTTTATCTTTATATTAGGGAGATAGAGGTAGAATTAGAGAAAAATCCTAAATTACCCAGGAAAAAAATAATACAAGATTTCATGACATTCCTAACTTGAATGCTCTATAGGCATTTCATATGCTAATAAAAATGTTAATTTAGTCTTGAAATGAGCTTAAATTATCCTCATTCACCCTAAATGCTTTTGGCTTAGAACAGCTGATTAGTGAAGACCTTTTCTTTTTCTGACTTCTATTAAAGTGTCTTAGCAGTATAAAGAAAAAGAGGCAAAACTAACAAGTAGGCTCATTAATTCATAAATATAATGAAATTAGGAAATGAGCACTTTGTATAAGGGCTAATGATACCGAGATGCAGAAGACACACTCGCTGCTCTAGAGCTCATGGGCCAATGGTTGGGTAAACAGACACACAGTAACAACTCTGTAGTGTAGTCAGCACTCGAAAGGAATAAGTAGAGGGAGCTGAACGAGCAGAGTGGAGGGACCACTGATGCTTCAGGGCAGGGTGAATGATGAGAAATATTACAAAAAGGGTGGCATTTGCATTATACTCTGAGGGGTGAAGAGAGATTTTCCTGATGGGCAGGGTTGGAGGAAGGGCAATGGGCAAAGATCCAAAGATGAGAGTGCAGACTATTGTGGAGACGTGAGGAGTTTCATAGGACTAGTGCAGGGGACAGGTGAAGGGAATAGCAGGTGAGCCTGTAGATGGAAAGAACAACTCAATATGAATCATAAGATTGCCATGAACAAAGAAAATATCTTTAAAAAAACTCTCCAGAACATCTAACACTAAGTGCTGAATAAACAAAAGCAAGCTGGCTAATATTTAAAAATTTAACATCTGATATAGCAGTGAGAGGCAACCAATCTGAATTCATGCTAGCCTTAGCAACGGACAGGATAAGGACCCTTTTCCCTCCAAGGAACCTTCGTAGGTGTTCATGACCTTTATTTTAGTTGCTGGATCATGGGGAGGTGTGTGTGGGGAAAGGTCTGGGGCTGCAAGTGGAGCACTCGAAGGTCTCAGGGTAGTGGCTACTTACCCACTGTTAGGAAAGTATTTCAAAATTTCAACAACTGGTGCCTTGCAATTAAATATTAACCATATACCAAGGGGACTGCAGAGGCCTTTGTTGACTTTCTCAGAAGCCACTTCACTTCCACATCCAACCCAGCTACATTCCTAGTATGCTACTGCAATAAGATAAAGACATTCCAATTCTACCCTCTCAGGTGAGAAAAAACCACCTCCCCTTCTCCCCCAATAATTTAGTGCTGAAAGAATTTCATGTTTCAGTCATCAGGTGACAAAAGTCAAGGTTCTACTTTAGCTTAGACATGATATAAAAATGTAAAGTTTGCATATGATTTCCTACGTAACTACTCCTCTGGACTAAAATGAATAGTCACTTTCAGTATATATTACCTTTTAATTTCTTCCTGTGTTTGTTTTATAGATTCGATGGAATTCTGAATGTCTCCCAGTTCTATCCCTTTCTTTCTTCTTGTGCTTGGTTTTACTGATTGAGCTAAAAAACGACATTTAGAATGAACTTGGTGAAAACAGTGAACATATTTAATTATAAACAATCTTCAGCTTAATGATTCTCATGTAATAAAAATTTTCCTAGGCATTATTTTATGGCTTAGAAATTAACATAGTAATACTAATACTCTGCATTTCTGAAGTTTTCATCATTTCATAACTAGAACACTATAGGTATATTTAAAGTAACCACGAATTAGTTAACTTTGGATGGTATCAGTTTTATTTTTTAACAAATTAGACAAAAATAGTTCATTAAAAATACATATATTAATTTGGAGAAGGTATCACTCTCTTCTGTCTCTTGTCCATTTGTCTACATTTGAAGAAGTCAGCTTTTTTAGCCCCCTTTTTCAGTTTTTTATTAATTGTTAATATTATCTTTATTCTCCTAGACACCCAAACTTTAAATCTTTTCAGTTGGATTTGATACCTTTTCTAGAAATTTTTATTGTTAACCAGAAAACTGTTATTTTTTTTCAAATTCCCCTTTCACATCTGTTCCTTCCTTTCCGTTTTTGTTCAGATATTAACTTCTCTCTCCAGATCTCAGCTTTGTCATTTGTAAAATAGGGACAATAACACCCAAACTTCATACGGTTGTAATAAGGTGTGTTTAACATCCAGTTTGGCACACATTAAGTGCTCCATAAATGTCAGCTGATACATTATAGGTAATACAGTAGCGCAGGGATAAGAGAGTGAATTAAGGAGCCAATATATCTGCATGTACAACATATATATGTGGCCTTGGGCAGATTAATCTCAGTTTCCTTATCTGTCAAACAGATACAACCGTGTAATTCTCCTTTTTAGTACACTGGTGTCACGCAACCCCTGCTTTTAAACCTGTATTCATTCTCTTGCTCTTCTATTCCAGTAGCCTGTGCACTACCTGGTCTCTCAAGCCTAGACTGCTGTAGTCCATTACAACTCACCAGGGCTCCTTGAAAAACATTCCCTTAAATTGAATTCAACTGCCTTTCCTTTCGACTCTTTACCATTTTACCATTTTCATCTAATAATTTCCTGACATTTACCATTTATTCACTTCTAGGGTTATTTCTGTAAAAATGAGCTCCCCAGTTCAGTGTGAGCTTAAAGACTATGGCATTAAAATAATTTAATTTCTCATAGTGTCTCAGACAGTACCTTAACCTTTTTTTGATTATATCGATATGTAGTTCAACACAGTTTACACATCATTTGACTTAAACAAGAATGGGACACTAGTTAATTTAGTCCATTATGTTGATATAGTTATATTTTCACTTGTCTGTGACTTCTAAACACCTCAATAATTGATTCTGAGAATGAAAAACTTTTTTGAAGTGTGGAACTGAGCTCAAAGCTCAAAAAAATGCTCCCTGCATTGAATAAAAAAAAAAATGAATTGAATCTAGGAAGCTATCAACAATTTTTCACAAGCTAATGTTTCCCCCTTTTTTATCCCCTGTACCCTTACCTGTGGCCTGGTCTTGAAAATTATCTATAATGTGAAATAGGGTTTTTTTTGCATACTAACCTTATCCCCACCAAAACTCTTACATATCTTCTTAAGTTAATATGAAAACCATTTTGTGGGCCGGCCAAGTGGCTCAGTTGGTTAACAGTTAGCTTGGGAGCGTGAGCTCTGAGCAGCAGGGCTGCGATTCGGATCCCACATTAAGGGCCAATGATGCTGCGCCCTCTACAGCTAAGATGATGAACAACAGCTCGACCTGGAGTTGGGCTGCTGTGAGTTGCCGGCGATGGCGTAGGGTGCAGAGGGGCTACAGTGGGCTGCCGTGAGCTACATGAGTAGCTGGCAGCCAGCGTGAGCAGCCGGCAGCTGGCGAGAGCTGCCAAAAGCGGCCACGAGTGGCCAACCAATGACCAGCGACCGACTGCCTCACCCAGGAAAAGCACAATGATAATACCAACATGGGCCAGTGAAGCGACGTCCTCCACAGCTAGACTAAAGAACAAAACAGCAATTTGTCTGTCTGTTCCCCTTCCCTGACTCCCCAATGCTGTTCCCCGCCCCCAATCCAATAAAATCTTTAAAGAAAACCAAAAAAACCCATTTTGTTATATCAAACATAGCACAGTAATATCCTTTTAAAAATTTAGATTCCTAAAGTGAATTAATCTGCAATAAATATTTTTACCTTCACTTCCAGATGAGTCCTGGATATCAGGTTCTGGGGAGGAATAGCCTTTTGCCACTTTCTTCTGTTGCCTGGTTGGCTTATGTTTCATTTTTGGGACGCTAACCTGAAAAATAAATCATGCCATTATGTGAATTTGCACTGAATTTTGTAATTAAAGACCAATGTTGTAGAACTGTCAAAACTATTTGTTCATGGGCACAATACTTAGAGATACAAACAAAGATGAAATAGTCTAACTGAAACAAATAAGATGTGATACACTTATACAATCATATTATTTTATTTAATTTTAATAGGAAATAATTTGGCACAAATGTCAAAAAGCATAAAAAATATACAATGAAGAGTTTTCCTCTCACTTCTGATTCCTATCTATCCAGTCTCCCCTACACTAAAAAGATACTTACTGCTATGTTTGTATATCCTTCATGAGATATATTTATGCACAAATATGAATACAGACCTCACCCCCGCCACACTGTTCTAACTCCATCTGTTAGTACCTCTAGTTCAATGTTAAATAATAGTGTTGTTTTTAATTATACTTATCTTGTTCCCAACATTAGAAACATTACCACTGAATGATGTTGGGTTTCCAATAAAAGTATTTAAATTATTTACTTTTTCTAATATCTGGATAATGTAGAATGCATCTTATAATAAATGAAAACAATATTATTTTGCACAGCATGGTTTAAACTTACAGAAGGTATTTGAGTGCATGCACAAGATTCAAAAGTATATGAAACCATAAATTAGGACTAAATTTTCCCAAGAGCAATAAGCTTTAGACTTTAGTTCTAGTTGATGGTTTGATATGCAATTTTGGAAATAAAATCTTAAATTTAAAAATTCCAATGCAAGAGAAGAAACTAGAATCAGCAGGGCAAGGTAATTTACATACTTAGAGAAACAGGGAACCAGTGGTCATACACCTTTAACTCTGTTCTTACCTGTTTATTATCCCCAATTACCTACTGCTTGAAATAATGTTGTAGGATATTATTCATGTGCTTAAAATTAAAATTTCTATAATTGCATTATAGAAGAAAATAAGGCAGGTTCTGTATCAGCCTACACTGTGCCTTCCTACTTTAAGTCATGGCGATTTAAAATTTTATAACATTTAGAATCCAAATCCACACTCTTAGAGAAGGCTCAAATTGGAGCTTGATGAAGACTGGTGAGAAGCTATTTAAAATGGCAAAGGGAGTCAGCAATCCAACTCTTGATATACAAAGGTTTATTATGATCAGTGAACTGTACCGTAGAAGAAAATACAGATGCCCTGTGTATCTCTATCATGCTACTGATGTTACAAAAAGAAACAAAATTTAAATTTTTTAAAATTTCTTAATTGTGATAACATATTTATGTGTGTATAAAATAAGTTTTGTTATTTTAATTTTTAAGTGTATAATTCAGTAGTATTAAATACCTTCACAATATTCTGCAACTATCTCTTCTATTTCCAAAACATTTTCATCATCCCAAAGCGAGACTCTGTAACAATTCAACAACTTCACATTCTCTCCTTCCTAGTCTTTAATCTTTCTATTAATTTACGTATATTTTATACTATGAGTAAATCATATACTATTTGTTCGTTTGTGTTTCACTTATTTCACTTAGCATAATATTTTCAGAGTGTATCCATGTTGCAGCATGTAGCAGAACTTCATTCTTTTTATGGCTGAATAATATTCTATTGTACGTATATACCACATTTTGTTTATTCATCTGTTGATGGATACCTGAATTGTTTTTACCTTTTGGCTATTGTGAATAATCACCTTCTATCTAGATGTTCTATTCATTATTGACAGTGGTATACTTAAGTATCTTGGTATAGAATGGTCTGTTTCTCTCTTTATTCTGTCAATGTTTGAATCATATATTGAGGTTCACTGATTTATATATATGTAATTGTTACATATTCTTGATAAATTGATTCTTTTATCAATATATGATATCCTTGTCTTTTATAACAGTTTTTGACTTAAAGTCTATTTTGTCTAATATTAGAGTCATCCCAGCTCTTTGGTTACTATTTGTATGGAATAACTTGTTCCATCCTTTCATTTTATTCTATTTGTGCCTTTGGATCTAAAGTAAGTCTCTTGTAGATAGCATATAGTTGGATCTTGTTTATCTTAATCTATTTTGCCAATCTGCTTTTTCTTTTTAAAACATTTTATTGGGGCATTGGGGGAGGGGAACAGCGTTGGGGAATCGGGGAAGGGCAACAGATAAGTTGCTGTCCTTTTCGTTCTTCAGTCTAGTTGTGGAGGATGTCACTTCACTGGTCCATGTTGGTATTATCATTGCATTCTTCCCGGATGAGACAGATTGGTCACTGGTCATTGGACGGCCGCTCACGGTGGCTCTTGGCAGCTCACGCCGGCTTCCAGCCGCTCATGATAGCTTATGGGAGCCCACTGAAGTCTACGCCGTCGCTGGTGACTCATGGCAGCCCAGCTCCAGGTTGAGCTGTTGTTCAGCATCTTAGCTGTAGAGGGCAGTGTCACTGGCCCCTATGTGGGATCTGAACCAGGGCCCTGCTGCTCAGAGCTGGCATCCCAAGCCAACTCTTCAACAATGCGCCACTCAGTCGGCCCCAATCTGCCTTTTGATCAGTGAGTTTAAGCCATTTACATTTAATGTAATTACTGACTAGAAAGGACTTACTTCTGCCATTTTACTCTTTTCTGTATGTCGTATACTTGTTTTTGTTCCTTATTTCCTCCATTACTCCTTTTGTATTTAGCTCATTTTTTGGGTAGTAAAACGTCAATTCCCTTCTCATTTTGTTTTGTATATACATTTTAGGTATTTTCTTTGTGGTTACATGGAGATGACATTTACATTTAAATTTATAACAATCTAGCTTGAACTGATAACAACCTAACTTCAATAAAAACACAAAAACTTTAATCCTATACAGCTCCACCCTCCCTCTCTTTAGGTTCTTGTCATAAATTACACCTTTATATACTGTATGCCCAATAATAGACTTGTAATTATTATTCATTCATCTTTTAAATACCATAGGAGACAAAAAGTGGAGTTATAAATTAAAACTACAATAACATTGGGCTTTTATGACTCCCTTTAGCATTTCTTATAGGACAGGTCTAGTGGCAATGAACTCCCTCAATTTTTATTTATCTGGAAATGTCTCAATTTCTCCCCAATTTTTGAAGGGCAGTTTTGCCAGGTATAGAATTTTTGGTTGACAAGTTTTTTCTTCCAACATTTTAAATATGTCACTTCACACCTTCCGGCCTCCATGGTTTCTGATGGAAAATTTGCTGTTATGCCTATTGAGGGTCCCTCATATGTGACAAGTTGCTTCTCTCTTACTGCTTTCAAGATTCTCTTTGTCTCTTGATAGTTTGCATATAATGTTTCAGTATGGGTCTCTGAATTTATCCTATTTGGAATTTGTTGAACTTCTTGGGTTTGTTGATATACATCTTTCATCAAATTTGGAAATTTGGAGGACTTCTTTCTTCAAATATTCTTTTGCTTCTTTCTCTTCCTCTTCTATTTCTGCGACTCCCTTAACGCATATGATGATCCATCTGATGGTGCCTCATAGGTCTCTAGGCTCTGTTCACTTTCCTTCATTCTTCTCTTTCTGTTTCTCAGACTGAATAATTTCAATTGTCCTATATCTAAATTTGCTGATTCTGTCTTCTGCCTGCCCAAATCTGTTGAATATCACCAGTGAAAATTTCATTTTAGTCACTGTATTTTTAAGCTCCAGAATTTGTTTGATCCCTTTGTATAATTTGTCTTTATTGATATTCTGATTTGATTTATACATCTTTTCTTGATTTCTGTTAGTTCTCTGTCCCTGTTATCTTTAATTCTGAGCATATTTAAGACAGTCGTTTTGAAGGCTTTGTTTGATAAGTCTGGTCTCTATAGTTCATCAGGGATGGTTTCTGTCAATTTATTTTATTCATTTTAATGGGTCATACTTGCCTGTTTGTTTGTATGTCTTGTAATTCTTTGTTGAAAACTAAACATCTGAATATTATAATGTGGTAACTCTGGAAATAATATTCTCCACCTTCCCCAGGGTTTGCTGTTTTCTGGATTGCTGAATTTGTTCAGTGAATTTCCCAATCTATTTTTGCAAAAACTGTATTCCTTGTTGTGCATGGTCACTGAGGTTTCTGTTCCTTAGCTGTTCAGTTAGTATTTTGATAGAGATTTCCTTGAACACCAATAGCTAAACAAACAGACAAAAAAGGCAAAAACAAAAACAAACAAACAAAAATACTCTCCCAGTCTTAGTAGACTGGCTGTAGGCAGGGACACTCCTTCAACACTTAGCCAGGCTTGCAAAGAGCCCAGATATTAGCCTGAGGTGAAAGCTTAGGGTTTTCTTTTCTGAGCAAAAACATCTTGCCTTGGACATTTATATGGCTTTCAAAATTTCCCTTTACACATGGAGCTTTTCTATGCCCTAGTATGCCAAAGACTCTCTCCCCAGCTTTTGTTTCTGTCTAGTATGTGTCAATGGTAATCTTTTGCCCCAGGTATCTGCAGTTTGTTAGTTTGGCTTATAGTACTTCCAAGCATTGACTGTAGGCTATCTAGCTGAGCTCTGAGTTAGATTTGAAACAGAGATATGGACCCTGCATAAATTCTCAAGTAGCCCCCAGACAGGTTACAACTAATGTACAAAACAATTTGTGAGTTCTGCTCTGCTCCCTTTGGAACCATGGCTGAGGCTGTGTATCTGGGAATCCTTCAATGTCACTGCATTAGGGAGGGGTTGGTGCAAGGGCAATAAAAATGTCATAAAGCTTTCCTACCGCTTTGAAGTTCTCTCTTTGTTGATTCTATGTTCACTTAATTGCTACAAACCTCTAACTGTTTTCTAGATTTCTGGAAAATTTGGTTCTGGCAGTCTGCTTGCTTTTTTATCTTTCTTTTGGGGGAACAAGAGGTTGGGGCTGTTTACTCTGCCATTTTGCCACCTAAAATTTTAAACTTTGAAACCAAATTTTAAATGTTGGTAGCCAAAGATACTAGTAAGGATTTAAAACATTTATATGCCTAGCAGATCTAGTTACTTTTTTATTACGTACCATTGGAGTGCGATGTTTCACTTTGGTCTGGATAACACCATCTTTCTCAAACTGTATCATATCATTAAGTGGGTCCCAAGGTCGAGTACTACATAAGTGAAAAAAACACCATTTGCTTAATGACTAAACAAATCACTCAAAAATTTTCTCAAAGTTTAGATTAGATTAGATTTTCATTAGTAATTATAAACCCAGTTGTAAGATTAAGACTTGTTATATCTAATCTTTGGATTCTCAACTTATTTTATAGGCTATTATCATGGAGTCAAATTAATAATGAATGGAACTTCAAATTTAAAATCTCACACTAATTTATATATCTATGACTTAATAAAAAACTACTCCAACAATAAAAATTCTAGAAATGAAGGCAACAAGCTATGCTCCTGTAGTGTTTGTAATATACTCTAACTACTTACTCTGCAAACTTGTAATGCCATTCTCCTGTGAGTAGATCAAGTTCAAATAAGTTGCAAGTCCACTCTTCATTTTTTGTTTTCCGATCTCTGGCAGCTTGTCTTTGAGCTTCTTCTAAAACACACTTCTCTTGTGTAGCTTCTGTTTGGTCTTTGGCATTTATGGCTCGAGTTACCCGCTGCCAGAGTCTAATACATGTGCAAAACAGTATTTAAAAAACAACAAAAAATTAAATCTACATTGAATAGGTTTGAATCCCCTTAAGAGAACATGATGCCCATGTGGGTTGGGTTATTGGCTTTGACAAAGCTTGTGCTCAGATATTTAGAAATGAGTTAAGATATAATAAGTGGTGCCTTGAGTAGAGTGACACAGCGGGGACTAATTTTTTTCTTGGCAAGAGAAGTTTATTACATGGGTTCTTAAACACATGGCAATGACTGGGCTGATACAAAATGATAGGAATTTAATGAAGGTTCAAGAATCTACATTTTTAAAAAGCTCCCTAGATCATTTTTGTACATACTGTTTAAATCCACTGGCCTCAAAGATGCAATAGTGTAATTCCATGCTTCCCAACCTTGAATGCAGGAATTACCAGGGAACTGTTAAAATCAGAATCTCTGGTAGACCCAAGCATTGGTTTTTAAAAATGTTTCCCAGATGATTTTAATGTTCAGCCAGTGTTGAGAGCCACTGATATAACAGAAAAGACTACTGAGGTATAATCTTTTTCCCTACTAAAGTTTAATTTTTTATCAGATAAATAAAACTATAATACCTATAGTCCACCCATCTAAGAAGACAACATATTGGGACTGAAAGAACAAAGACTTTGGAATTAAACCTGGGTTGAATCCTAGATCTGCAACTTCTTGGCTGGGGAATTTAAAGTTACTTATCCTGTCTACAACTCATTTTTAAAATATGTTAAATTATATCCACACCGCAAAAATTGTATGCCTTGGCAAAGCTTCACTCTGGATGAACAGCATCATGTGATTACAGCTGAAACAGAATTTTTAGAACTGGGGCATATATATTCTTCCAACTTTGACAACCTGAATTTGAGTGTAGAAGGCAAGTACATACAGACTTGAGTCCCATTAGATGGAACGATAATGTATGTGGGAACATGCAGTGAGGACTAAACTGCATAATGTGTATAAAGTATCTAGAATAGTGTCTTTTACTAGGTACTTAGATGCCCTCCCCACTTCTCCTAACACAAAGAAATATAGGAATAATAAAATTGGGCAATGTGTATACAATATTTTTGGTTCAAAAGTGTTACAGATCTAATAAGATCTAATGAAGGATAGAAACTATGGCCTTAATTAATTACCAAACTAATGTAAGTCCTGTAGAGCCTGCATACCCAGGGGCATTTTTTTTTTTTTGCGTTATTCTTGTATTTTAGAAAACGAAACAAAAGTAGATTTTGTACTACCTCCTTCACTGAGAGTTCTACATGATTCACCCAGGTTTGAAAAGTTACCAGATAAAAAAACCAAGAATCATTAATTAGTCCCATAATTGTATAAAAACATACTAAAAGTTCTTTTTTATCTTAATAGGCCCTGGAGCAGACAAGAAAGAAAAAAAATGAGAAGTTTCAGTTTTGAACTGCAGAAAAGCAGTATGATTTGTATTATTAATATATTGATTTGACATTCACATAAACTAGAACAGAATCCTGTCACATCCCACAAATTTTAAACTATTTTGCTGAATTAAAATATGACTGAAGACAGAGAAAAGTACCCACACTATTGAGAGACTAAAGAAAAAACACTCTTCATCACCATGAAATTAGCTGAAAAATGGTAGACTTACTTCTCTGATTCAAAGTCTCCCTGTTCTTCAAATTTTACGGTGTGCCTTATTAATCTCCATTGCTTAATGTCTGGTGTTGGATTCCAAAACACCTCTGAATTATCAGTCTTTTTGTCATTAATAAAAACTTCACTATCCTGTATTTAAAGAAATTAAAAATTAATGTAGAGAATTATCTTTATTTAAAAATTATCTTTATTTAAAAGAGGATTATATAGCATTGTAATATAATACTTTCTTCAATGCTTACTTAATCCCACAGTTAAACACATTTTAAAACAAATATAAATAGCACTTTTCTAAAAGCCCCAAATCTTTTGTCATTTTAAACATTAAAATTAAATAGATAATACTAGTCATTTTAAAATTTGAAGATTGTGAGATTTCACAAGTTTTATTTTAATAAGCAAATTTCAAACAATTACGTGCAAAGCCTCAATAACCATCTCTGAACTGCCAGAGTGGACCATAGTGTTTGCTGCAGCCATAATGAGATGCAGGTGACTACTCACACAATCTATGTAGAAAAACCTGAAAAGAGCCTTTCTTAGCATTAAAAATTTGAGCATAATCTCAGAAATTCCATTAAAAAAACTTGTATCTTTTTTATAAACGATATTCAGATAGAACTAAATTCTAAAAATTACAAAGTGTGTGTGGCCTCTTAGTTAAGTTTCTAGGGTGTTTCGTTTCATTTTCTTCTATTTCTCATCATTTTCTGCTTATTATAATGCAGAAAGTAGTATACAGTCAGTGTTTAAAGTAAGAGTGCATCTAGGCAGTAGCATGATATGATCCTTTTTATTCATTTAAGCTTAACAAAATTACACAAGTATGAATTTAGGTCAGTAGAGAGGTAAGTAAAAGCCATTTCTCTCATTTACCACTATATACTTTCCATGTTCCTCAAAAGAAAATATAACTCTAACTGGAAATGGCCCTTCCTTCTAGGTGAGAGACAGTATACTGCTGTTCATAAAAGCACAGCTCTGGAGCCAGAGTACCAGGGCTGGAACTCTTACTCCACCACTTACTTTGAGCATATTATTTAAATTCTCCATGCCTCACTGTCCTCCTCTGTAAAATGGGGACAATCACAGTACTTACCTCATAGGGTTATTATGTCAAATATTAAATGAGTTAATATAAGGAACATTTTTAAACAATGCAGTATATAGTAAGTCATATATAAATGTTAGCTGGTTTTGTTGATTTAAAGTTTTGGAAAGGTAAAATATCACATAAAACTAAATATTACTGATAACAGACCAACACCAAAATATTTAAGCTGAAGCTTATGTTAAATGGTGATGCTTTTATCAATGGAATTAAGTTAGCTTATAAAATGTGATTAATTTTTTCCTACAGAATAAAATTCTTTTGTTAAACAAAAATGCAAAATACTTACCCAATGGCCTTCTAAAGTAGCTAGGACTTCTTTTCCCAATTTAAGTTTCCCTGATATTTGATTAACACAGTCACTGCTACCTAGAAATGGCTTTTAAAAGAGAAAATGTTAAAGAAACATTTTGCTTTTAATTTATAGTTACATACAATGTAGACCAAAAAAACAACAGAAAAAGTGACTGTATAGTTACAGTGCTGTTGAAGGCACAAATGGTGAAACACCGACTCAAATTTTAGTGAAAATGTTCAATAAAAAGAAATGTGAATTTTTAGCTATGGAAAAAGGAGGCTGAAAAACACTCTATGTGAAGTCCAAATAAACATACTGAGAAAGATCACACTGATATAACTGACTCAAGTTCTGTGCTCTGACTCAAGACTGGACTCTGTCACTGTTGCAATATATGAAGCAATAACAACTCAGTAAACTTAAGGGACTTAACTCATCTATTGAAAGAAATAACACGTTTTCCTTAAAAATAAAACAGTAAAACAATACTCAACCAAAAATCCCTCCAAAATATAAAATTAGAAGAAATACACTTTGAGTTACTATGTTGCCTTACTGTTTCTCCTCAGTAATTCTGATGCTCTAATCTAATCCTTAAAGGTATCATAAATTACTTAGAAGATCTCTTTAGTCATGATTTTCATATGCCATTATTACCATGCAAACAAAAATTTGCTAAGATGAAAAAAAAATCAAACAAAGGATACTGTATCTAATAATACTTAAAAAGGATCCTTTTTATTAGAGAAATCTTACTGATGAGCTTGTTATCAACATAGGAGCTATTAATAAATATTAAATAGTTCATAGAAGTATTTTTATCTGAACACTGAAAAGTCTTACATTTCCCTTTCACTCTAAGCCACACAGTATTTTCCCAAGATGGTCTTAAGCATACTTACCCTTCCCCCTCTAGCCCACATGCTTTCCCCCAGAGACACTGCCATCCTCCCGCTCTAAGAAGTAGGGTCTATATGCCTTCCCCTTTGAATTTGGGTGGGTTTATAACTCTTCAACTAACAGAGGATGGTGGAAGTGATATAATTTGATTTTTGAGGCTAGGTCATGGACGGTGATGCAGCGTTCACCTTGCTCACAAGGACACTTGCACTAGAACCTTGAGCTGCCAAGTAAGCCGCCATGCTGTGAGGAGGTCAAACTACATGGAAAGTCCATGTACACAGGTGTTCAGATCAGCAGTCCTCGTCTTTCAGTCATCACAGCCAGGCATGAGACATGTAACTGATGAGCCTTCAGATAATTCCACCCCCAACTGTAAGTCACTCATAGCCTGCAAGTCTTCCTAACTGAGGCCCCAGACATTACGGATCAGGGATAAGTCATCTCCAATATGCCCTGTCCAAATTCCCAACCCACAGAGCCCCTAAGGATCTGAACATGGTTGTTTTTAAGCTTGTGAGTTTGAGAGTAAATTGTTAGGCAGAAACAGCAACTAACACAACTCTGTCAGAGTGCACACAGCTATAGCTCAAGCTGATTCATACTTTTTGGTATTTTCTAAAGCAATGCTTTAATTTACTGAAAAATTTCTATCCATTCACTTTTAAAATCTCATCTCCTATATCATATTAATCATTTTATTAATTAAAATTAAAAACTAAAGAAAATGATGGCTTTGGGTTGATTTGTATCTTCCAACGCTGCCCTTACATGAATTCTGTGTTCTTGTATTTCGCCTTTAATTAGAAACCAAACTGTACTCTTTGTTAGGTGATAACTCCTATTAGGTGACACCTCCTATTATTTTCCACTAACCTTTAGTTTGAATTCAAGTATTGCACTGTATCCAGTTTTTTGACATGTAATATTGACTGTTCCACCAAGCTCCAGTGTCATTGTGCCATAAAGAATTCCTAAAGAAAAAAACAACTTTGATAAAAGGCTGAAGAGAGAGAGAGAGAGAGAGAGACAATAGCTAATAACAAGCAGCTTTCAACTAAATTTGTTCTAGGAGAAACTAGCAAGGAAAAGGTATTCTGTCCCACTCAATAACGATCTATAATGAAACACATAAAGTGGTTCTGTAGGATTTAAATAGAGAACAGTTGATCTACATTATTTGCAGATTCCATATTTGCAAATTCACTTATTCACTAAAATATATTAGTAATCCTCAAATCAATACCCACTGCACTTTTGCAGCCATTCACGGACATGGACAGAGTGGCAAAAAGTTTGAGTTGTCCAATGTGCATATTCCAAGCTGAAGATGAACAAGGTGACATTCTGCTTTCTTGTTTTAGCTCTCAGATGGTAAACAGGTGTCTTTTTTGCAATATAGTTAGTGCCACATTTTTGGGCTTTTTGTTGGTGATTTTACTGTTTAAAATGTCCCCAAATGTAGTGCTGAAATGCTGCGTAGTGTTCCTAAGCACAGAAGGCTGTGATGTACCTTATGGACAAAATATGTGTGTTAGAGCTTGGTTCTGATGTGAGCATATAGTACTGTTGGCTATTAGTTCAATGTTAATGAATCAACATTACTCATATATATTAAATGAGGTGTCTTTAACTAAAACCAAGGTTATATATTGATTGGTTGACAAAAATGAGACAAGAGACTCACAGAAGTGTACCCTAGGAGCAATGGTTCAATATTAATTAATTCAGTGTTTGTGGTGAATTTATAGAACATAATTACTGCAAATAACAAGAATCAAACAAAAATACATCAAAATAGGTTCTGTAGCTAAAAGCTGGGGAAATTCTGAGTCTAACAAAGTTAAACAAAAATTCTGTGTATCTGTTCTTGGAATAAGCTGTTAAGGCAGCCTTAATATGCAAATACACAATGTTAATTTCCAAGAGGGGAACAACTATGCAATTTTTCTCATACTTAAGTGGCTACGGAACTCTTACTCTGTAAAACAGCTTGTGAGACTAGTGATTTGGGGAACATATCTTAGAAAATACACACAGTACAAAATAATCATTTCCTATGCTCATTTACAAGGGGTTATAATTGCTACTTTTTTTCCACACAATGAAGACAATGCTATGAAAAATTTTCCACTGTTGTTAGCTGGATATGGTATTGGGTATCTGCATGAAATATCATTTTATTTATTTCAAGTGATATTAAATTTTAAAATGTATTTCTTATCAATTCAATTCCTAATTTCGAATATTTAATTTCATGCCTATTTCAAGAACCACGTGGGAAGCTCTAAGAATTATCTAGCCTTAGGCCACAAGTTAGCCCCTCTCACACTCAGTACTGTGTAGGCTCCTGGTGCAGTAAATAGGAGTCAGCAAGCCTGGAGTTTAGTCTCAGCATTCTTACTGACTAGCTGGTTTAGCCTTGGATAAGATTCTTAACTGCACCACAGTTTTCTCATCTGTGAAATAAGCTCATACTAAATAATTTCTTTTTTCATGAATCAGTTCCTAAAATAGAGAACGACTACCAAAAAAAAGTTACTTTTAAGAAATGGTTTGGAAGAAAGGTACAGATAATGACCAAGCTGAGTGTTTAAGCTGATGCCCTATAGCACAGTAGTGCAGATCGCAGAGATCTTGACCCTGCCACATCCTAGCTGTGCAATATCAGGCAAATTAACCTCTTCATGCCTCTTTTTCCAAGTCCATAAAAGAGGGGTACTATTACCTACTTTACAGGGCTGCTGGCATGACTGGGTTTATAAATGTAAAGCATACAGAATAGTTGGGGGGCCTGGACTGTTGTAAATGATAGTTATTACTTAATAACTTTACCTACATCCTAAGTAATAGGAAAAAAACCCCATAATACATTAACTTTTAAGAATTTGCCAAATGAGGATGAAAAAACTTTTAAAGAACTTGGTACAATGAAAAGCAGTAAATTAAAAATTTTAAAAGGGTGGTGGTACAAGAAAATCAAAATCACTTTTAAGGATTCTGAAATAATACACAGTTTCATCAAATTTTAAAACTTGCCCTTAAGGCAAATAAAATTCCATTATTATAATCAGCCTCTTACAACTAAAGTGTGTGTCACAAAAGGTCCATTGTTGCTCAATTCACCCCAGAAATATTCAGCAGATGATAGCAATAATCTAAGTATCTGTAAACCAAGCGCACTGTCAATCAAAAAGACTGACTCCTATCATTCTCAAAACATAACAAATTACAGCCACATATCCATTTATTTAAAAAGGTTTAAGGAATATCTAACTCAAGTATGGAAACTATTTACCTTTACAATGAGCATATGGCATTGTCATTACATAATCTTCACCTCTATTCAAGAAAGTCAACCGTGCTTCTCCATCTAATATTGCAGATAATGAGTTCCCTAAAATAAAGTTTATTAAATTTTACAAAACTAATTCAACCAATTCAAAACAAAGAAGGTATATAGGACACCTACCAGACATCTACAGCGGAATGTCTTAAAAATGTCTCAATCTTAATGTGCGCAAACATATATTTATTATTTTATATCCAAAACATATTTGATCCATATTCCCATCCTTATAAAATGAGTACTTTTAAAAGTATAGTTACATTATTATGTTATTTTATATGAGGCTCTTAAGAAAAATCTTAAACATGTAGAAAATGCAACAAAACACTGACAGTTTCACTGTATAGCTTAATTTGCCTATTTTTGAATAAAAACATTATTTCTTATCCACCATCAATCGCTTTACTCAGTTAAGTCCCAAGCTTTAGGTACGTATAACTATAATACTGTAGATACTTTAGACAAATAAAAATATGCATAACCTATAACCCATGCAATGATAAAATTTCATGGTTTTTTTTTTTTAAAGTTTTTTATTGGGGAATTGGGGGGATGGGAACAGTGCTGGGGAATTGGAGGAAGGGGAACAGACAAGTTGCTGTTGTTTTGTTCTTCAATCTAGCTGTGGAGGACGTTGCTTCACTGGCCCAAGTTGGCACCATCATTGCGCTCTTCCCGGGTGAGGCAGATCAGTTGCCGGATTCTGGACGGCCGCTCACTGCGGATGCTGCCCGCTCACGTTGGCTGCTGGCTACACACGGTAGCCCATGGCAACCCACTGCAGCAGGGGCTGCAGCCTACGCCGTCGCCTGCGACTCACGGCAGCCCAGCTCCAGGTCGAGCTGTTGTTCAGCATCTTAGCTGTGAGGACAGTGTCACTGGCCCTCATAGGTGGGATCCGAACCGGGGCCCTCTGGCGTCCCAAGCCAGTTCTCAACCATTGCGCCACTCGGCAGGCCCTTCATGGTATTTTTTTCTAGTTTTTCTCCCATGAGTACTTTTCATTTACCCATGACCAGTTTTATTGAAGTAAAATTTACATATAATAAGTGACCTATTTTAAGTGTGCATTTTTGATAGTCTTGGCAATTGTATGCCGTCAAGAAACTACCACCATCACAATCAAGATGCAGAATTTCCCATCATCCCCAAAAGTTTTCCTTCACTCCTTGGAAGTCAATGCTCTCCTTCAGTCCCAGAAAACCACTAGTCTGGTTTCAATCACTGTAGTTTTACCTATTCTAGAGTTTTGTATAGATGGCATCATAAAATATGTAGTTTATTGTGCTTGACTTCTTTCACTTAGCAAAATATTTTTTAGATTAATCCATGCTGTTGTATCAACATTTCAGACTATTTTAACAATATTAAGATATCTACTATATGAACATAGTGTATTTTTCTGTTTGTCTTCTTTAATTTTCCTCAACAATGTTTTATAGTTTTCAATGTACAGGTCTCACATATCATCGTTAAATTTATTGCTAAATGTTTTATTTTTCAGACACTATTATAATCAAGGTTATTTTAAAAATTTCATTCTGCAAGTGTTCATTTCTAAAATATAGAAATAAAAGTTTGTATTTTGACCTTGTATCTGGCAACCTTACTAAACTTACTTATTAGTTCTAGTAGTTTTTTGGTCTATTTTAAAAAAGATTTTCTATAAATTAGTTATGTATATGGTTTACCGTATTTGCCGGCGTATAAGACAATTTTTTGGCCCTGAAAAATATGCCTCCAAGTGGGGGGTCGTCTTATACGCCAGGTACACTTCAGATAGACTGCCCATAGTGCTTGCCCCGTGCCATAGTGGCCTCCCGATGCCCGCCCACTTCATTCCACATACCGTTCAGGCATCAGCAGCGCTGCTGGGTGTATGCTCGGCTGTGTGCGATTTTGCGAGTGTGGTAAATTCGGGTTACCGTATATTTCTTTACATATGCATTGAAGATTCGCGATTTTGCGCTATCATGGTGGCTGTTAGAATGTTGAAGAGCTCGCACTTGCGCACTAGTGAGGTCCCAGGGAGATGCTGATGCAAGGGTGGACCAGACTGCTATAGTGACAGGGCGGGCAAACAGGGAGCAGGGACCAATCAAATCAGGCTTTGTATACAGCCAACAGCCAACCACAATACTGCACCATTGTACAGTACAGCATAGAAAATGTCGACCAGTCAAACCCCTATCATCCCTATCATGGCACCAGCCAAAAGAAAGAAGTATGATGCAAATTTTAAACGGAAAGTTATAAACTTTGCTAAGGAAAATAATAATTGTGCTGCTGCAAGACAATATGGAGTAACAGAAAAGATGGTTCGGGACTGGAAATCAAATGAGAAAGCATTAAAGAGTATGCCAAGGGGTAAGTGTGCATTAAGAAGAGGCACCCCACACTGGCCAGAACTCGAAAAACATGTAGCAGACATGGTGGCTCAACATCGCCAAAACGGTTATGTGGTGACACGAAATACAATACGCTTGTTTGCACTTCAGTGGGCCAAATCAAATCTGATATTGTTTTACCTTTTATTTGGTGTGTGGAAGGTGTGCAGAAGAGGGGGTAGTCTTATACGGCGAGTATATAACAAACTCTGTATTTTGAGTGGAAATGTTAGGGGGTCGTCTTATACGCCCAGTCGTCTTATACGCCGGCAATACGGTAACTTCTTGCTAATCTGTATGCTTTTTAACTTGGTTACTGCACTGGCTAGAACCTCTAACACAACTTAAAAATATGCAGAAGTAGTGAGAGTGAACATTCTTGCCTTGCTCCTGATTTTAGGTAAAACTTATTCAACTTCCACCTTAGAAGTATGAAGTTCGCTATATATTTTTTCATAAATACCTTTAATCTAGTCCTAATTTGTCAACAGCTTTTGTTGTGAATGGGTGTTGAATTTTGTAAAATCCTTTTCCTGTATCTCTTAAAATGATATAGTTTTCCTTTATTCTATTAATATAAATTACATTGGTTGATTTTCAGATGATACACCAATCTTATATTCCTGAGATAAACCCTACTTGATCATGATATATTATCCTTTTAATATACTGATCACGATACTTCCACTTTTAATATATCCTTTTATATCTGTTACCCTTTATCTATATTGATTTGTTACTAATTTGTTAAAGATTTTTACATGTTTATTCAAGAGAGATTGATTTGCTGTTTTCTTGTAATGTCTGGTTTTTGGGATTAGGGTAATGCTGGCCTTATAAAATAAGTTGAGAAGCATATCCTCCTTTTCTACTTTCTGTATGAAGTTGTATAAAATTGGTATTATTTCTTCCTTAAATGTTTAGAAGATATCAAGACATCTGGGCCTGGAGTATATCTTTGAAGGAAAAATTTTAATTACTAATTCAATTTCTTTCACTGATTTAAGGCTATTAAATTTTTGTATTTCTTCTTGGGTCAGTTTCAGCAATTTGTGTTTTTTAAGGGATTTGCCCATTACAATTTAAGCTGTCAAATTTATTGGCATAAAATAATCCATAATATTTCCTTATCATCCTTTCAGGGTCTTTAGGATCAGTAATGATACTTATTCCAGATGTGTATTTTCTTCATCTAGAATTAACTCTTGGATTCTTTGATTTTCTGTATTGTTTGTCCACTTGCTACACTGATGTCTGCTCTTCATTATTTCCTTTCTTCTATTTCCTTTGAATGTATTTAGTTCTTTTCCTAATTTCATAAGGTATAAAGTCAGATCACAGATTTAGATCTTTCTCCTTTTCTAATTTAAAATCATAAATTTCCTCCAAGCACTGCTTTTGTTGCATGCCACAAATTTTGATATATTATATTTTCATTATCATTTAGTTTAAAATATTTTCTAATTTCTCTTGTGATTTCTACTTTGGCCTATGAATTATAGAAGTGTGATGTTTAATTTCCAAATATTTGGAATTTATCTTGATATCTTATTGTTTATTTTTAATTCTATTTCATTGAGGTTGCAGAACAACATACTCTATAATTTTCAGTCTTTTGAAATTTATGGAGAGTTGTTTCATGGTCAAACACATGCTTGATACCAGTGAAAACACCATACATGTATCTGAAAATAATGTGCATTCTGTAATTGTCCACTGTAAAGTTCTAGAAATATCAACTAGGGTAAGGTGGTTGATAGTGTTCTCCATGATCTTAAGCCACTTACACTATAGTCAGAGTTTGGAAAGATGGAAAGTGTAGTAGGGAGGGAGTAACATAAATATATGTAACCTTCAGAAGAAAACAATCACACTCTGGAACAAACAAAACATGAAACTAGGCCAAAAAAATACAAAAATAAATATAAAACCCAAACAAAACTAACATTAAGGGAAATAAAAGACATCTTGAAAAAAAATAAAGGCATACACCATGTTCCTGGATCAAAAACTATCAGATTTCCCTGTCACAGACTTATCTATGGTTCTTCGCCCTCTCAGGTAACCAAACCTTCAATTTCTGTTGATGTATTTCATTTTTCCTATTTTACCATAATTATTTTTTCTCTCAAGTTTAAAATTCTTCAGTTGAAATTTATTTTGATTTTTCTCCATTTAAAATTTAATTTGAAAACCCAAATAAAAGCACTTAAGGTTATATGTTTTCTACTAGTGTATATTTCCACTTCTTAAAAGTATACTGTATTAATGTGTAACTCTGGCTATTTGTTTGGATTGTCACAGTTTTTACGTTAAGTTTCCTACTGTAACCATATTTCTCCATTTCCCCTTGTACTTAACAAAACCTTTTATTGTATGTTATTTGTAATTGGGTAAAGAAAAAACACTATAAAAGGCTATTATCCAAGTAAAAATGATACTTAAAATGACATATAAATTCCTTTCTGAAAACAGCATAAACACTGTCTAAATAAAAGCTCACTAGAAAATACTACCTCCCAGAAAAGGGAGCTGACTGAGACAAGGGGAAACTCACCATAGAACTTGGACTTAGCCAGGATACTACCACTAATGCAAAAGCCATCCTTTCGGTTACTCACATAAAAGGCAGATATTGGTGGATGATGAGACACCTATTGAACAGAAGAAAAGTATAGAATATAATTATTGTGCTATTATTAAAAGTTCACTTCTTAAAAGTATACCTATTAATGAATAAGAAAAACATATGGTTAAGTAGTAAAATCAGATATTGATGATTGTGGTAATCAGCTTCCAAGATGTCTCCTCAGGAAACTCACCTTCTGGTATTCACACCATTTAGGTGGGCTCCTGTTATATTGTACTAAAATTGGTTTATGTGGAAGTGAGACGATGTCACTTCTGAAATTAGGTTACTCATATAATGCAGCATCTATTTCTCCCTCCTCTCCCCTCCTCCCCCCACACACCTCTTTCTTTCTTTCTCCCTCCGCCCGTCCCCCCC